TGGGCGTTCATTTGGATGAAGAACTAAACTGGAAAGAGAACACTAGTGTTGTGATGAAGAAGGCTCAGTCGAGACTGTTCTTTTTGAGAAAACTAAGATCATTTAATATCAGCACAAAACTCTTAAATGTTTTTTATCAAGGGATTTTAGCTAGTGTTCTTTTTTATGCTGTACTTTGCTGGGGGGGGGGGCAGTATATCTGTTGAGGACAAAAATAGGATAAATAAACTGATCAAGAGAGCTGGTTCAGTTATTGGTCTTAACCCAGATGCATTGGAGGTTACTGTGGAGAAGAGGATGCATTCAAAATTGAAAACTGTCCTGCTTTTTGAAGGCCATCCACTACACAATTTGTTTAGGGGACTCAGAAGCTCTTTCAGTGAGCGATTGGTTCTGCCTCGGTGTTCTAGTGAGCGGATGAGAAGATCTTTTGTCCCAGCAGCAGTCAGATATTTTAATGAACATTGTTAATTATTGAGTGACATCCAGGCCTTTAATAGAGTTAGTGTTTGATTATTTTTGCACTGTGAAATTGAATATTTCTTGTAGTTGTGTCTAATCAGGTTTTGGTCATTCTTTTAATGCATATTTATTTATTTATTTATTTATTTATCTGTTAGTTGTGTACTGTGTTTAAGGTTGTACGGTTGGTGGCAAACCAGTTTCCCTACCGGGATTAATAAATTTTCAATCAATCAATCAATCAATCAATCAATCAATCAATCAATATATATGAAGAGTTCAGATGCAAAAGCCTCTAAATGCCATTTGAAATTTCCTTCTTTAATGATGATTTTTATCAAACTTGTATATTTAAGTTCAGTAATTTCACTTAAATAACAATTAATAGGTAATTATCATTGCCATTTAAGTGTAATTACTGAACTTAAATATACAAGCTTGATAAAAATGATCATTTTTGAAGAACATTTCAAATGGCATTTAGAGGCTTTTGCATCTGAACTCTTCATATATATATATATATATATATATACACACACACATTTAAAAAAATTGTATTATACATTTTTAATGTTTTAATTGTTTAATTAATTTAATTAGCGTGCTGTGCTTTCGCTGTCTCCAAAATAAGTCCTACTGTATGCTGGTGACCAGCGATGCCTTTGTTCTCGGCAGTATTGGCCAGTGACATTGGCTTTGTCATTTGACCTCTGCTGTTTATATATAGTGACCACTGAGAAGCCAGTTCGATATGAATGTATTTTGCAGATCTCTGGGCCGGGGAGCTGTATCTAATATCCATTTGCAATGGAGCCAGATTTTAATTGGCATTATGGCGGGATGAAACCACAGCCGTGACATTGCGATTCTAAGTGAAGTGTGTAACACTGCTCTTTGTGTCAAACGCTACACGGCCACGGCAAGGTCAAAAAATCATATTTAAATTGAAGATAAGAGTCGGTGCTGGGACAGACAGAGATGTAAATTCATAGAAGCCCTTTGTCTGTTTCAGACCGCTGTGTCATTGTCGCAGTGAAGGTGACACCAGCTCCGTGTGCAACTCAGATAAGCCCGTGCACAGCAGCCATGACAGGGAAATTGATGGTATGCATGGCCCATGGATGTGTGCGGCACCCTGTTTTCCAAAGTAAAGGAATCTCATTAACTTGGAAATCCCACACTTTGTTCCACTAAAAGGTTTCAGCTAAATGGCTTTGTCAATCAATAAGATGTAAGAGCTGGCTGTAATGAGAAAATGCAACTTTATAAATGCAAGAAAACTCCTAGATGATATTTTAAACAGCAGCCACAACTGAGCTAGAGTCAAGTCTCTGGATAGTAGTCGGATCCTATGTTGGAATGTATATTGACGTCATTTAGCACACAGTTTATTTCCTAAGGCCGGATTCACATATAGCGGCTGAAAACACTGGGCGCGCCGCATTCTCCTTTTTCCAAAGCGCTAGGGTGGTTGTGCTCTGGTTGGTTCTTGTCATGTGACCTACTGTGCGCTTATGGTGCGCTTGCAGCATTCTGAAAAGTTGAGATGTTTTTATCTCGATGCGGCGCGTCGCTTCCATTATGAGGGGGCATACATTTGAAATAATGAACTTGAGCGCGCAAAAGACGCGATATGTGAACAGGCCCTAAAGCAGCTTATCGAATGCTACACATGATAAAGAAATTTAAACTTTTCATCCAAATGCTTAAATGCATGAAATAATTGCATATAAATGAGCCCAGGTGACTTATGACGGTTTTCCATTACCAGTATCAGCTTGACTCTACTCGACTCGACTCCTTTTCGCACCATTTTCCATTGCAGACAGTACCTCCACAAATAGTACCCGGTCGTCATAGCGACGCCTTTCGTTCCTCGTTGCCCTATCAATCTCTTGCAGGATCCTCTCTTCGGAAAAGCCTGCACCTCCTCGTTTGACCACGGTGTATTCTTCTGAGTTGCCATAATAATAGCTAGTTTAGCAACTATCTCTGGCCAAACTATTTAAAAATGGCGGGGATATTCTGGATACTCCATCTGGCATGTACAATGACGACGCAGTGAATGGTGACGATTTTCCAAAAAAATCAGTCGGCATTGTTTTCACGTGACATTTTAGTATCGCCTTAGCTCTCTCAGAACTTCGACGGAGGCGAGTCTACTTATAAAAAAAAGTAACAGAAAGCAGGTACAGGTACAACTTTTACACAGTGGAAAACCAAACAAAGGCGAGCCGAGTCGAGTCTAGCCGGTACTGTGTACTGGAAAAGCGCCATTAATTGCGTTTCAGCTGTGTCTCTTTTAAGTATCAACTTTGAATCAGGTGTTCAATTTAGTAGAAATAAAAATAGACACAAATGATAATTTTTTTGCTGTGATGCAAAGCTGCATTTTCAGCATCATTACTCCAGTCTTCAGTGTCACATCATTCTTTTCAAAAATCATTGTAATATGCTGATTTGCTGCTCAGTAAACATTTCTTATTATTAGCAATGTTGAAAACAGTTACTTTTTAATATTTTAGCATTCTGAAAAAGCAAAATGCTAAAATGTTGTCACTTTTGATCAATTAAATATGTACATTGCTGAATTAAAGTATTGCTTTCATTCCACAAAAAAACAGTTACAGACTCCAAACTTTTGACCGTGGATAGTATACAGCTCAGAAATTTATAGTATTCAGCTCAAAAATGTTAGAGTTAAACTTCCATAAGTGAAGTTACTGTGATCTTTTTCTTATGAAACATCCGAGAAACCTATTCGGTAACCTCAAAAGGTATAGATAAGTTTACAAAAAAAAAAAAAAATGTTTTTTTTTTTTTTAGGGAACTGCCTCGAAACAAAGCTGTTACACCTCTAAAGGTACAATCTTTCTCTGACAGTGTTGCCTATTCAACATAATTATTTTTCATTAAGTCTGTGCCAGCTCCCTGGAGAACAATCCCATTCTCTCCATTCCCATATCGTCTTTCCATCATCCACTAATGGTATTAAATGGCGAAGCTGATGGCTCATGTTGGCATGACGTTGTAAAGTTAACCTGGCTCGTTGAGGTCCCAGATGAGAAAACCCCTCCTACCATGGGACAAAGCAGCTCTGGCTCCTCTTGCACATGCTTTGGTCCAGAGAGAGTGTTTTTGTCTTTCACATGGGATAAATCCTCTTTGAAAGCATGAGGATATAATGATTCACTACCGGTACAACAAGCACTCAAAGACAGAACGCTAGAATGAGGGATAATCTGACAATCCCTCCTCTCATGGTATCTCAGGGAGGAAGCTGCATGCTGTTTAGAGGAAGTGGAATCAATACACTGTGGCACCTCAGAGTTGATGACTTAAGTATCACAGTACATAAGACTGAACAACTGAGGTCAGAGAACAGCAGAACAGTGTCAAGCAGTGATCGCACTCGTCCAAAAACCTGTGCAAGAGAGAATTACACACCGCGGTAGATGTCTGTGCTGATACCGCTACAGGTATATGCTGTTTACACGCGAGATTGGCGAAGAAACATCATGTTATGAGAAAATAAAGAGCTTTGTAATGTAGCTGCTTGCTGCTGTAATGTAGAATCAGCTGTTTTAAAATTAAAAGTTGTATAATAAAAATTTCAATTGCAATTATTCCAGACTTTATTTGTGAGAATAATAGTAATAATTATATTAATTGTTTTTAAATAGTTAACATATGTGAAATTATTTTTATTAAGTTGAAAAATGTATTAATCATAATTGTAATATTTTAGAATAATCAAAAGTATGAATTACTGAATTAAGAATGATTTTAATATTTAATAATTGAGAAAATGTATTATTCTTAACCGTAATAATAATAACAACATCATCTTAGTAATACTTAATCAAAACCATAATATTTTTGAATAAAGGATGTGTATTAATCTTATTTTTACTTCTTTCTTTTTACAACTTTCTTTTTTTAAATAATCAATAAATCATAATCAATATGTTTTAATAATACATCATATGAATCAGTGATTATTAATAATCAATTTTTATTGATTATTATTATTATTATTAAGAGGAATAAGAATAATGACTCATTTAAATAATCATATAATATATTTTAATAATAACTCATATTAATTAGTAATTAATAATAATCAATTTGGGATTATCTAAATAATATTATTAAAAATATAATAATCATTTTATATCATAATATATACCGTTGCAGTGATACAAAAGGCACATTTTTGCTTATTCAAACACATATAATTCTAGACCTGTAGATTCCAGCCCTGAACATGCAGTACATGTTTGTCTGACACATGCAGCCTTCTACCCATGTAGCAGAGATAGAATTTCTTTGACGTCAGATCAATATCAAAGTCATTCTTGAATGATTGATGAGCTCATAATGTGATACATGATGATGACAAAGATTGCTACGCTATCATGATGTTGTAAGATCGCATGCCCGTCCAATGAAGGCACGGTGGTGTAAATATCAAAATAACGCGTGCGTACCTGCAAACAAAGCAGCCAGGTGAATGAAACGGATGAGGTTGCGCTTACCTTCTCTTGGTACTGTCGTCGGGACGAGTCCAGAGACTGGATGAGGGCTGTGGCGTGGCCCACGAACATGGCGTAACAGGTGGCGCCCACGATCATACTGAGCATGGTGATCCAAAGGTCTGACATGCTGACAGGAGCCCTGGCCCCGTACCCGATACACAACATGTGACTCATGGCCTTAAATAGGGCGTAAGAGTACTGCTTTCCCCAGGAGTCGTTCTAAGAGAGCGAAAGAGACAGACATGAGAAGATGACACAAAAAAAGAAAGACAGTCAGTGATAGAAAAGCAGGTGGAGTGAATTTAACACATGCGGGCTTGCAGGCAAAAAAAAAAAAAAAAAAAAACAACCTCAGTGCTATCAGTGAATCTTCATATAGTGTCCTGCCAACAGTAACCTTCATGCATGGCAAACTATCTCTCTCCATGCATCTCTCCTTCCTCTTTCTCTCTCTTTCTTTGTATTCATTGCTAGTTGTTATATGTTGTAATCCATACATCCATATTTAGCCTAGTAGCTTAAAATAAATAATAATTTTGTTTTTGGTCTCTGTTTTATCAGCCTTTGACAAAATACCCCTGCTATACACCATCTTTTTTTTTTCTTTTTGGTCTCTGTGTCATTTGCAATGGGGTGTGAAAACAAGTGATGGCTTTGGTGTCTGCTAATCAACTTGGATTACTTCCATTAGCTGCCGTCAGTTGATGCACGGCTCTGTAGATCCCTGATGCCGGACGAGAGAAAAGAGGAAGGACACTTTCAGTCCTCTCACAGGCTATTAGGCTGATTTTAATGGAGAACTGTGCGAATAGAAAGAGACAAACTGTACTGCAGATGTACTGAACCTGCTCAGAATCAATACGGCAGCTCATGAAAACAAGATGTTAAAGGGAAAAACTTTCCAAGCAATTTTTTTTTTTGTCGTTTTGTCACCTTCTTTTATTATATTATATAATATAATAACTGTAAACTTGCATTTTATGAAACCTGAAAATGTATGTTAAATAATGTCTCTAAATATATAAATATACAAGGATTTTACACAAAGAAATGTTTTTTTAATTAAATTAGAAATAGATGATTATTTTTGGCCTGTGCAAAGATTAATTTGCGATTAATCGCATCCAAAATAAAAGTTTACATAATATATTTGTGTGTGCTGTGTATAATTATTTTGTATAAATAAACATACATTCATGTGTATATTTAAGAAAATGTGTTATTAATATATATATATATATATATATATATATATATATATATATATATATATATATATATATTATTATATTATATATATTTATATATACTATATATATATATATATATATATATATATATACAAAAAATATACACAAAACACACACATATATTATACAAACACAAACTTTTATTTTGAATGCGATTAATCACAATTAATCTTTGCACAGCCCTAGATTATATATATTAGGGCTGTCAAATGATTAATCGTGAATGATCACATCCAAAATAAAAGTTTTTGTTTACATGATATATGTGGATGCACTGTGTATAATTATTTTATATATATATATATATATATATATATATATATATATATATATATATAAATACACACACATGCTTGTATATATTTAAGAAATATTTCCATTTATATACTGTATATAGATTTATATATAATTTATATTATATATAAATATAAATATTTTATATAATTTTTTTCTTAAATATACATACATGTGTGTGTATTTATATACATACAAAATAATTATGTAAACAAAAACTTTTATTTTGGATATGATTAATCGTGATTAATCATTTGACAGCCCTAATATATATATTTATTAGTATAATTTTTTTATATATATATTTATATTATTATATTTGTTGAATCAGCATTGGATATTGTTGGGAGAGAGGTCATACCAAATTTAACATTGCTCTGTTTACGTCTGATAAATTTGCTTCTCCGACTTATTTTATGTCCAGAAGCTATTTTCAGTTTGCTCGGTCACTGGTCGCTGTCAGCACTACTCGCAGACATTAGTTGGTGTGTTTGCTGAGAAGACTGACTTAAACAATACACATATTATTTCCCGATGGCCTCAGCTCCTTGTGCTTATGTGAAAACACAGAGGGATGTGACAGTTCTGTTTCGCTGACAGCTTAAACCTCTTCCTGCTCTTTTTGAATAGGAAAAAGTGCTGAGGAAGCCGACAAAAGCTTGTTGAACCGCTCTTAAACCCGAGCACCGCTGCCTGCCAACCCACAGGGCTCTCAAACGCAAGCAGGGACGTATCACATACGCTAGTTCTGCTGAGTGTATTTGCCTGTGTGTGTCAGGAGAACTCGAATAAAATACTCCTGATGTGCCTTCTCTGTCTGGTGTATTAGCTCCAGTACTGAGTCACCTATTAATGCCATGATGATTGCTTATTTCTTTTGAAGACAAATGGAAAAATTATGGCATAATTTCTCATGATAAGATATATTAGATCATAGAGATTTCCTATAGCATTTTGCGCTTCATGAATTGTTCAGGAACTGTTGTCAATTTACATCATACTACATTGAAAAAAGTGTTGCTATGTGTTTCCAAGGATGTTCTGGGTGGTTGATAGGCCAATGCTAGGTGGCTGATAGGGGTTTCTGGGTAGTTTTGCTAGGGTGTTGCTATGTGGTTGGATGTTCTGAGTGATTGATAGGGCAATGCTAGGTGGTTGATAGGGGTTTCTGGGTAGTTTTGCTAGGGTGTTGCTATGTGGTTGGATGTTTTGAGTGTTTGCTAGGTGGTTGATAGAGTGGTGGTTGCTACGGGATTGCTAGGATGTTGCTGTGTGGTTCCTAGGATGTTCTGAGTGATTGATAGGGAAATTCTAGGTGGTTGATGTGGGTTTTTGCGTGGTTGCTTATTAGTACAAGCCAAAACCGAGTTTTATTCGTGTCCTATCCTTAGAAATGGCATGGTAAAGAATTAGTGATTTAAAAAAGTAAGCATATTAGGCTGTAAAAGGCTTTCAATTCTAAAACATATTACCAGATTTTTGTAAATAGTAAATCATGTTTTCTAACACCTGAAAATAATTAAATGATTACACAAGTCTGGTTTGTAAATGTATGGTTTCTCTATTTTTTCATGTGATTATGTGTATAAACCCCAAAGGAGCTTCCCGGTGAAGTTTCTGATGACCAGGCGCTCAAGAGAAGGGATCCGTCCCAATCAGACTCACTCCATAAACGCCAACAACCTCTCAACCTCCACACTCAGACACTGTTTTAACTAACACATACCGGTGTATTTGATAGCTGTGGATCCTTAAGTGGTCTGCTGATGATTAGAAGAGCCCACTTGAGAAATGTGTTGATTGGCTGATAATCTTTGTGTATGTTGTAGTGTGTGTGTGTGTTACAGAAGGTGTCACAGGCAGCGCAACGTAAAGCAGCCTAAATACTACCCATCGGGTGTTTGTGTGCGTCTCAGATCATATTGCTCAGCTAATCCTCATAGTAGTCACACGAGACACTCATGTGTGCACATGTGAATAAATCAACATACTGTACATCACTAAAATGTGTGTACATGCACATGGTTTTATACACACACAATGTTGGGAAGCTATTTAAAATAATTTCATATTTTAAATCGGTAAACAACAGTCAAGTTATGGTTATCTATAGTGTAGCTTAACGATTTACTAACAAAGTAGCTAACTATTTACAATATGCTTAATTAGACTATAAACCTATCTAGGGTTAGTTCACCAAAATTATGTCATTAATGACTCTCCCTCATGTCGTTCCAAGCCCGTAAGACCTCCGTTCATCTTCGGAACACAGTTTATGATATTATATATTTACTCAGAGAGCTTTCTATCCCTCCATTGAAAATGTAGGCCTGTGTACGGTATACTGTCCTTGTCCAGAAAGAAAATAAAGACATCATTAAAGTAGTCCATATGACATCAGTGGATTAGTTAGAATGTTTTGAAGCATAGAAAATACATTTTGGTCTAAAAATAACAAAAACTACGACTTTATTCAGCATTGTATTCTCTTCCGGTTCTGTTGTCATTGTCATTGTTTTGTTTACAGCGTACCTCAGACTGTAAACGAAGCTCAGGCGCACTGCTAACACGTCAGTAGCGTCTTACGTCAGCGTCACTGAACGCGGCTCGACAACAGAAACGGAAGACAATACAATGCTGAAAAAAGTTGTAGTTTTTGTTATTTTTGGACCAAAATGTATTTTTGATGCTTCAAAACATTCTAACTAACCCACTGTCTTTATTTCCTTTCTGGACAAGGACAGTATCTATACATTTTCAATGAAGGGACAGAAAACTCTCGGACTAAATCTTAAATATCTTAAACTGTGTTATGAAGATGAAAGGTCTTACGGGCTTGGAACGTGAGTCATTAATGACATAATTTTCATTTTTGGATGAACTAACCCTTTAATTAGAAATATCAAATAGAAATAAGCAACAAGAAGCTATGTTACTGTGATTTGACCATGGTTTAGTGGTGTATAAATGTTACACAGGGATATAAACAACTTTTCCTGAATAGCAATATAAATAGCTGTGTGCACAGTACAGTGTTTTGTCATTTTACACATTAATTTGAAACAAAATAGCCCATTAATGAAAAGCTACACTATTTATTGATGCTACTGTTGCTAAGCTAATAGCGCTGCTATGTTTAGTGGCTACAGGACACATTTACACATTCTCTTTGCACAAATGTGTCCACGTCTTTGTGTGGAAAATCCATTAATTTGTTCAACAATAGCCGTCAAACTGCCGTCCCAAACATCTGAAGTTCTTTCTCCAGCGTATCAGAGCCGTGGCCCTCCTGTGATACTGAACGAGCGGGCCGCTCCCCTCACCCAGCTGTGACTCTCTCAGACGTGACCAGACATGCAGTAATTGAAATCCAATTCAATTCAGCCATTCCAGCTAATCACACGCTACGTTACCAGGCCGAGAGTGTCAGAAAAGGGTAATAAGAGGCTCATCTAAAGCAACTCCACCTGAGGAGGCGTTTGCATTTGAACATGCATTGTCATTTTCTTAATCTTCCAAATGTTTATTTAAACAAGGAAAGTGTAGACTGTTCATTGTTAGTTTGCCATGTCATATTGATATTTGACGTGACTAAGCATGTGTTTATTAATATATTTCTTTTACAACAAAGAAAGTGAGGTTTGTTTTGTATAAGACCACAATCTCTAATTTGTG